GGCTTTAGGTGTGTTTTTCGTTAACGTATTGGTATTTTTGGTTCAGTGTATTGGTGTATTTGGAATAAATTTTAATAGAAATGGAAGAAAGGTGTTCTCAGCTGTAGGAAGTTTTCGGCAATAAGCTGATTTGATGAGTAAGTGGAAAGAAAATTTCAAAGGTATTTAAATTATGGAATCGTGCAGCAGGGCGAAAAAGAAGTATTGTATGTGCTTTGCCAAGATATTGTTCCTTTCAGATCCTACTAGACATTGGATAGCACTGAGACCGGCAGGTTTTTTATGTGTTGGAAAATTTATCGATATCTTTATCAATTAATAAATCTAAATCGGGAGAGGGGTTTCGATCTCGATATATATTTTTCGATATCGTTGTACCTTTATGTGTTTATCGATTTTTCAGATTTGTTTATCGATATTTTAATTTATTTATGTGCACCGTTTCCAAATGTTTTTGAATCGTATGCAAGAAAATTTATCGAATTCGTTGTCGATTAAAAAATTTGTTTGTGTCGATATACTAAGATGTTTCAATTCCGTTATATTTTTAGATATCCATATATTTTTAGATATCTATATACCTTTATATGTATCTACTTATCGATTTTTCCGACTTGTTTATCCATAGTTGCCAAAATGTTTTTGAAACACGTGATAATAAATTTATCGATATCGTTAATGTGGTTATCGATACCGATATAATTATTGGTATTTTTATTTATTTATTGGTAATTATTGGTATTATCGAAATATTCATCCACGGCGTTGCCGTATCGATTTTGATAAGATTCACTTCATAACTTTTCCCAGTAATCGAAATATTTTTAGTAATTTTTATCAGAAATCGTACTTGACTTCCACTCTAACCTCTGATTTTTCTATAAAACAGACTAGATGAATGTAGCAAAAGCACAAAGACGTACGGACTTTCAAAAAAAATGAGAAACATTTAGAGGCCATTCAGACTTTAATTATACGTCCATCAACTCCACTTAGTCTAGTTATGATTCCTTATGGTGCAATAAATGTAGGAAATAACGAAAGTTTAGTTGGTCAAATAAAAATTTAAAACCCGTTTGCGCACGCACAATTCCATTAACAGCACAGCACCAAAAATGCATGAAACAACAGCAAAACTTTTTATAAACGAACATGCTTACACACACATACCTACATATGTACATATGTCCATATATAGATGCTCACCATGTGTGACCACAGTCATTGCGGTGCCTGTGATAATAAAATGAGGACATTCACTAGCATTCCAGTAAGCATTTGCCAATGCAAGGCATTCCTCTTTTTGCTATTATAGTTTTCTGAATATCTTTCTGCTATGCAGACATGGCCACAAACTCATACGCACACACACAAACACACACACACGCGCGCAAATGGCGCTGTATTTAATACACGCAAAAATGTTTATGACTGAAAATGCCTTTGCTTTTATGTTTTGTCGATTTTGCGTTTCAATGGCTCTTGCAATGAAGAAAGCAAAAGAAAAGGTTAAACTTAAAGAGAGAGAACCAACCGTAAGGCGTGAATTGGAATATGGGCTTGTGAAAAGCATCAATGATTTGTGTGTATTGCTTCACTTATTGTGAGGAATGCTGCTACTGCTAGGAATGTGTTGTGCAATGTCTGGTAGAGAAGCTTGCTATTTGCTGGCTGCCGTCACATATGTTTGTGTATGTATCTCTGCATGAACTATGTGCATTAGGGAGCATCACTCTCCACAAGAAAAAATTGGTACTAAGTATTTTTTTCATAAGATTTATACACATTTTATTATATTTTAAAATTTCCGCCAAAATATTTGAAAAAGAATATCAAGATTTACGTGAAAAAAATTTCAAAAATTATTTAAATTAATAGTTCGCAACTCTCTGGTCATCAGGTTATGTGCTTATATTTTTTTTAAATCAGTTTACAACAATAAAATACACTTCAGATGACCTGATAACCAGGGAAGTGTGAACAGGCACATTTTTTCCAAAAAATCACCTCATAAGATAGAAGAGCTTAAGCTTTAGACCACTACATACATAAAAATTTTTAAAATTGTATCAATGGAATCATAAAAATTAAATATTTTGAGGTATGTATTTTCAAATCCTTTCAGATCACGTAAATTGTAGTATTTTTCCCAAATATTTTTGAGCTAGAATTAAAGTATAATAAATCTTTTAATTCTGGTGAAAAATCGTTTTTCTTTTTTGTGGTGTTTCACCTTAAAGTACATATGTATTTATGTAGGTAGATGGTATGTATATGTGCCAGCAAATTGACGGCAATGTCTGCGAATGAGCATGCGGGTCAACCCATTAGATAGCAGGTCAGCGGGCAGACAGAGTTAGCTGGCGATTAATGTCACAGCGTAGACAAAAACAAAAAAAAAAAACTAACACACAAGTGAATATCTGAATAGGAAAAACAAGCGAAAGATGTAGAGAAATAGTTGCATGGAGAAAGTGTGAAAAAAAATGACAGACGAAATGCGTGTTTGTAATTTTCGCTTTAAGGAGGTGTAGTTAGTCAATCGATAAGTCAGCTTATGCGGGTTAGTCAACCTACTTGTTTTACTTCGAAAAGCGTATTTAAAGACTGATTTGCAATTGTTTTTTTTTCTGACAGAGAGTACTACGCTTTGCTTTCTTTTTGAGTTTTATTTATTTATCTCGTTAGTCTGCAAAAAAAGTTGCTTCTGTTACTAAGAGGAACCTGCGACAGTTAAAAAAGGAAATGTGCAGTCAAAGAGACGTCCACGGGAAGCGAAATTTAAGATGCTTTCAAAAAAAAAAGAAAACTTACTTATTCTTAGGTACCATTTTTATCTTTAGCTAAGTTAGATTCATCTGGTGGTAGGACAACTGTTCCATCAAGGTAAACGTTTTCCTTCTTTCTTTTAAAATTTTTACGTGCTCTGAATTTGCGCAGGATTAAACTATTTCGAAGGAGGGAGGGAGGGAGTGGTCTTGAGTTCAGAACCAATAAAAATGAGAAATTTAGCGTTTAATTGGTCTTTATAATGGGTCTAGATATGTATATATCGCTTAGGATATTAAACTTCACTTGGAGATTCCAAAAGAACAGAGTGGTCATCATTTTCTTAAAATTCAGTGGCCCCTTCAGCAACTATGCACAAATGCTAGAATGCATGCGAGTTAGATAAACTCCAAGAGAATTTTGCTGAAGCTCATCACAATTTTATTGGCAAGAAATTTGGAATTCAAGTAAATTTTGTCTTTACTACAGATAGCCAAATTTGGAGAAAAAATATCCAACACACATTCTTCAACGTTCGTCATTATGTTACGTATACGCAGAGCTGGTCGGTAGCAAACGATTATATATGTACATACATAATAATATTTTACCGTTACTAAACTTAGTCTATCGCAAAACTATAATCCATTGATAAGGTAATTTAAATGTTTGCATATTTTTGATAATATATTGATAATGAAAAGTTATTTGCCTGAATTCCTATACATTCTTCATTAAGTTATCAGCAATCAAGCTTAAAATTCAAACATAAAACAAATTGTTATTTTACCAAAAATTTAACGCATTCAATGTTATTCTGACACAAAATAGAATCTTGAATTAAAACCAAATTAATTTTAGTGTTGGCGAAAAGGGTGTGGAGAGAAGTCAAAAGTTAAAGCAATTTACTTAACTTTTCATTGAAATACTTCAAATAGATATATATATATATGTATATATATATATATATGAAATCGTACAAGTAAATACAACCTAATTCCCTGAATAGGCACATTACATATTTGTCATCAAGAATAAACTCATATCTTTACTTGAAAGCTTCTTTTTAGTTTCATTTTGAAGAGTGATAAAATCCCTACCTACCACAAAAAAATCTGCTAATTTTAGGTACACTGAGTCAAAAAAGGATTAAGTTGAACTAAAAAAAAAATCACTTTGTTCTCTCTTATTTTACTTTTCAATAGTAACAGTATTGGGTAATTCCTCCTTAATACCAATTTATGGAAAAAACCCCTTCCGGAAGACTGTTATAGACGCCTTAAAAAAAAAATTAAAAAAAAATCAACGAATTTTTGATAATTTTGAAACTTGAAATTTACTGCATGTTGTTATAAAATAAGAAAATGTGCTTCAGATCGCCATAGTCTCTTTTCGATCATGGTGTGGAATCAAATAGCATTCCTCCATTTAAAAAACCATCAAAGTAGCTATTAAATCAACGTTTTTTTAGAACCGATAATTTTTCAAAATGTGATTAAAGAATGCCTGAAAATAGAGATATAACCAGGTTCTTAAAGAAAAATGATATGCCTAATCAAATGAAACCGAGTGGATGCATTCATAGTTATCTTATCTTCAATACACAACTAAATTGCATGCATTCACAATATATATACACTTTTTTAAGTATCTATACAGCACTTAACAAGCTTGTTACATCCGCTCTCTTTCTTTCTTACTAACAACATACGAATTTCACGCTTGTCCACTGCGTATACGCAACTTATGCATTGCATATATGTATGTAAATATATGCACATATATTATTGATTGCTGCTTTTAGTCAAAAAGTGACATGACATTTTAATTGAGTTTAAAAACTTTATTAATTGCATGATTGGTAGAAAATTTGTACGTTTACCGCTAGCCCCACCAGAACAGCCGTCAGCGCGATAAGCGTCAATGCTGTGAAGAGAGAGAAAGTTAAACGAAAAAAGCCGAAAAAGCGCTAAGCAACCGTAGATTTTACGTAAGCAAAACATAAATGGTCCAGTCAACATCAAAACTTACTTTTATACGCACATAGAATACAGAAGTATGCGCTGATTACAAAACTTTTAATTCATGTTTTTCTGAGTAATGTAACTGGCAGTTGTGAAATTGTCACCCAAACCATACTCCCTGCTGAGGAGTTATTTTTACAGCCACAAGCAGCGGCCCACGCCTTTGGTATTTACTGATAGTAATTATTTCTGAAGGTTGGTGAAAACTTACCTGGAAAGAGACAAAAATAGAGAAACAATTATTATTTTTATAGCGTAAATTCATGTTTATGTATGTATGTATGTAGGTATATATGTATAAATTTTTTACTTTATTAATAATTATGTAAATGTGCGGTGGTAGATCTAATTAGTGGAGAGCGATAATAATGGAATATTTGTTCAAGCGTTAACGTTACAGACATAACACAGTAAATCAAATCAACAAATTTGACAACAACCGAATGAATATTGAGATTCCATGACTTCTGTATGTACATCCATACTAACATAGTACATATACGGTCAGCGTCAAAAATATGACTACCTTGACAACAACAGCAAAATCTGTAGAATCAGTTTTTTAATTTTCATATAGAGAACGGAAACATTCAAGAAATACCAAAAAATGTTCATCTAAATTTTCTATTCGGTTTTTTTTTTTTAATTTTGAGTACGTAATTTTTAGCCCATTAAATTTTAATATAGTAAGGTGCACGCTTCAAGTCTCTGAAAATTAGAGTTGACTTTTGAGAATTTTTTTTGTCAAGGGTGTTGTGCATTTTCTTCTATATAAAGCAGGAACAAAATCAATTCTAAGAAATCGAATTAAAAATTTGAAAATTTCTATATGAAATTAAAAAATTGATTCTGCTGAATTTTGCTGTTGACTGAGCTATATTTTTATAAAAAAAAAATAAGAAATAAGAAATCTATGGAATCTAAAAATAAATTAAATTTTCCAAATGTCAGGGTATTCATACTTTTGACGCTGACTGTATATGTATTTTTTTACATTCTTTAAGAAAATAATATCATTATTACTTTTTTTTTAGCGTTTGGAGCTTCAGTCTATATAGTTATAGTTCTATAATGCATATTATCCCAGTGGGAAAAAGTGATGTATAGTAATCGAAAGAATAATCAATAAAAAAGCCGTTTTCACATTCGAAAATTCATTATTTTTCCCACGTCGATGTCCTAGGAAAAGTGGGACATTAATTTTTGCATTACCTGTAATGCAAGAATGAATGTCATTTAATATGAAATTTTTGCGAATTTTTGGATACATTAGAATTCTGATTACATATTAAACAGAAATATAATCTAGAACTCATTAGACATACATTATATTATTTATCTTGCATGTAATGCATTACTACTTTTCCTACTGGGATTCTTTATTCTACATCCAATGTTTTATGTATTTTTACGTTTTATAATCTATATTTTATATTCCATATTCTATAAATCTATAAATTTATAATCTATTATCTATAATCTATAATCTATAATCTATAATCTATAATC